ACTGCCCACAGTTGTCTGGCCCTTCCTCTATCAACCATTTTAAGACAATCCCCACAAGCCAACCTATTGCAGACAGTTTCTCATTGAGCCTTTTTTATTAGGTGATTCTAGCTCATCAGGTTGGCAATGAAAGCTAATCATCACAGGGATTGTGATGTGTTTTAGGGGAGATTAGCTCTGTGAAGCAAATAGAAAGGAACCCTAGTAAATATTGTACAGCAGTGATCTCCGATGGGGTGTGGGGGAGGACAGTGATGAGTGCAGTGTGGTATGAAGAGAGGTGGAAAGGAAGGAGGCGATATGAGACAATGAAAACAACCAAAGAGCAGCAGCTTCCAGGACAAGCGAAGAGGCTCAACACAGGGAACACAAGAGAGAGGAGTCAACTTTTGGAAATGATGTCTAAACTTTAAACCCAGAGAACTAGTGTCAAAGTATTATCCCTGATGAAATTTAGTGATTAATAACATTTGTTTGTTTACGGGAGGAAATGGTGTGGTTTTCTTGGTTCTGGTGACAGGATTTCTTGGATCTGTAATGAGAACCTGTCTAGATTGTTCTTCACAATGTATTCAGTGTCTAGGGCAGTGCCAGAATCAGCAAGCACTGGCTGAATGAGTAAAATCAGTTTTGAGACATGAAACTGGTAGGTATAGTTGCATCCTTAGTACGTATGTGTGGAATAGGAGGCCAGAAAGATGTCTGGAAGAATGCACAAAGCTTTCCTTGTACGCAGATGAGTCAGAGTGCAAACAAGATAAGGAGGGCTGGAATAGTAGTGATCTCAGATAAAAGAATCAGAGAGCGGTCAATAATGTCTGAGACATAAGGAGGACACACATGATGAAGGCCGAGCCATTGTCCATACTTAGAAAGCTTACAGAAGCAGATGGGTTCATGCTGGCCACACAGAATCACCTGGGGTGCTTCAGGGTCCAGAAGACTTGGGGAGGAGACTCTGGCCATGAAATGTAAGCACCAAGAGTTTCTCAAGGTTCCCAGAGAGTTTCAGTGTGCAGCCAAGTCTGGAAACCGTTAACCTTAGAGAAAGCAATTCAGCAGGGAAGTGGGAAAGGAGGCAGCTTACAAAAGCATCCGGTAGCCAGAGGCAGAGCAGAGAAGATGGAGAGAGAGTGAAGAATGTTTAGAGGAAGAAAAGGAAAAGAAGGAAATGTCTTTCTGTAGACCCCAGTCTGACGGCTTGCGTTAACACAAGTCCCTTGACTTTCAGATATCTCTTCCTGCTTCTGACTCCCCAGTGCGTTCCTTTGTATAGTAGAGTGAAAAATATAAGAAAAGAGATGGTTTGATTTCTAAGAAGTGTCATTCATAACGAGGGCAAAACTGACATAACTGGCCAGAATTTTTGTAGGGTGGTCAAAATGTAAAAGACTGGAGCTAGAGAAATGGCTTAGTGGTCAAGAGAACTTGCTGTTCTTATAGAGGACTGGGGTTTGTTTCCCAACACCCACGCTGGGTGGCTCACAACTGCCTGTACCTCAAAAGAGGATGGAATGCCCTCTAGGGGCCTCGATGGGTATCTACCCAAACACACAAATAAAAAATAATTCTGTGTTTAAAATTTGAAAAGACTGCTCAAATTTTTTACACATTTAAAAAGGATTTAAATTATTAAATATATCATTGACAAAAGAAGAACATGAAATTGAGGGGAGTTATTGAAGGGTTTCAGTGGGAGTAGGGGGGTGAGACAGGGTATTGCGTGAACAGGACTAAAGTTCATCGTGTATATTATAAAATACACTACTGCTCATATACTCATAGCAGTATATGAAGCAATGACTTTGTTTAGTGTTTCTAAAAGGTTCTCATTATAATGAGTAATTCAGGAAAAGTAACTTTATTTCACTTCTCCTTAAAAGGAGTGTAGTTCAATATTATTTATTAAAATCAGCAATAATGGCCAGACATTGTGGCCCACATCTTTAATCCCAGCATTCAGATCTCTGTGAGTTTGAGGCCAGCCTGGTCTACATAATGAGTTCCAGGACTGTGTGAGAGACCCTGTCTCAAAAAAAAAAAAAAAATGGCAATAATGTAGAGAGAGAAAACCAAACTGGCAATCGTTTCCAAAGTCAGAAACATGAACACAGGGGAAGGTCAAACTATTTCATCACATTTAAAACATATCGTACTCACAGTAGGTTCCCGTGGTTGGTGTGCAGACATGCTTACATTGAGAACACTACTTCCTGTTTCAGCTGTCGAACTGGAGTACTCGGTGGACCTTGGGCTGTCGTGGCGCCCATTGATGAGGGACTGCCTGCCCACCAATGTTGAGTGCGGCCGCTATCACCTACAGCGGATCCTGGTGTCAGACACTTTCAACAAGTGGACCAGAATCACTCTGCCCCTCCCTCCCTATACCAGGTATTGCTGCTTCTGCAGGCATCACTCCAAAGTGATCGGCTTGGGTAGGTCAGGTTTTAGCCAGACAAAGTTTAAATGAGATGCATGAGAATTTGTTACTTATGTGAATATAAATTAAGGCTAACAAAAAAAGTGGAAGTCAGTTTTTATGGTGAAGTTGTTGTTTTCCCTAAATCCAGGCTTTTCCTGACACTTAATGCTAATAATTGTTTTGAATAATGGCTTATACAAAAAAGCAACTGCAACGTAACAGCTTCTCCAACTTAATTTAGAGATGCCAAGAACCAGCCATTTAAAATAAGACGATTGGATGCAAAATAGATTTAAATGGAATCTGCCATTTAAACCACTGTCAATACAGTGGTTACTGATTTCATATAAATGGAAATAGCAAATAAATGTGTCCTACCATTAGCCTCTGCTTTTCAAATTTTATTTTGGTTATTACTTTGGAATTTATCAGCTGCAGAAATGTCTTCTATGAAAAGCACCAGTGGGAAATTACTTGGTTTGAGAAAAGTGCCTGGTAAATGCTAGTAAGTAATCTGAATTATGTGTGCACTTATACTCTGGTGTGAGTAAGTGGAGGGTTGACTTTCCCAAGGGAATAGTGCTCTATGATTCCTTCACCATCTAAGGTAGGTGCTAAGCGTAGGAAAGCTTTACGATCGTGATTGGCACTCCTGGTCCCTCTGGGGAAAACTGGTCACCTGCTGCCTGCCGTTGACAGAGGAAGAAAGCAACCAGCACAGCGTGGAACGAGAGTTATAGTTCAGCTCATTATTGTCCTGTCACCCCCCTGCAAATGAAGAATGAATAAATCCTCCTGGCAAACGACCATAAAATGCGACCATTCATCCCTGACGTACCTTTTCCTGGGATTATCATAAAAGGAGTGGTTCTGCCTCTAACAGCCTACGGCTGCTTTCCAATTGCTGGCTGAGAGGCAGGGGACTGTAGTAACTGAGAGACGACTGCCAAGCTTAAATGGGATACGTGAGGTTTTGTTGCTCGTTAAAGGTATTGCTGTACATGAATTATTAAGGTGATCTTAATAAGTAACAGGAAAAAAACTCCATTAAGGCATCTGTCTTTTAAGTCTTTATGAATTCTATGAATTATTACCCAACTACTTGGCAGCATTTTGCAAATAAGTGACATTATAAGATTTACTTCAGCTAGTCATTATACCCTTGAGATGTCTACTGAAGAAAAGTAATTATTCCTCATATTTTAATCTGTCTTTTAATTGTCTCTTGCACGTACTCACAAGAATTTTGACCCTTTCAAATGATACATGAAAAATCAGATAATCATCTATTTCCCCCTGTTACCATATTGAAAATACACAGTTTGTTTCCTATATTACCCTCAGGGCTCATTGGTGTACAATGGTCTTAAAGGTGACAACACACCCTCTGAGTAATTCGGGAAGAATGTGTGTAGATGAAGCCCAAGCTAGACCTACTTCTTTGCATGCTTTGCCATATGCCAAAGAAACATGAACGTCTCAGAGTACTGCCCCAAACACATGCAAATCTCTCTCCCGCCTCCACTCTCAGCCCTGTGACTTTTTAAATGTACTTTTCCTTGTTTTAAATTAAACTGAATTGGTGGTAGAACACCTGTGTTTACCATACCTGGGGCCCTTGGTTTGATCTCCAGCACAGATAGGCTGATAGCTAGGTAGGTAAGCAGGCAGGCAGGCATACAGATAGCCAAGAAGTTAAAGTAACTGACTGCCTAAAAGTCTGGGAATGTAGTGAAGTGTCTATGCGATCTGCCAAGCCTGAGTTTGTAGCTCTTTGCTATAAACAAGCTGGTATTGACAGCTTACAGCCACGTGCTAAGTAAGGGTTAGCACTGACCATGACCACAGGACTTTTCTACTATCCTATGGTATGGCTATCATGAGGATCTAAGGATTGCTGGTAATGGGAATAAATGGAAAATGATCGCCCACAAATTGTCATCAAACATGCTGAAATAGCCAGTGGTCACCGATAGCAACTGTTCATCCATTCAGTCATATTTTTTTTAAATGTTTTTAAGTACATACCTCAAAGAGTTTTCAGTTCAGTAGAAGACAGAGAGGCATTTACCAGAGATAACCCAAACTCAGAACTAACTATAGAATCCAGTTGTGATATGATGGAATACTGGAAGATAGTGTTGTAAGACTGACTGTCACAGGGAAATAGGATTGGTCAGGAACGCAGGGAATACTTTCTTGAGAAAGAGATAACTTAAATAAGATCTGAAGGTGAACTGGGTAAGGAGAAAGGGCAAGAATGCTTCAGGCAAGGAGAATGCCCTGGCGTAGCTGGAAGTTGGTATGTGCGTGTTCAGGCAGAGAGAAGGGAGGAAAGTGAGATGTGAGATGGTATCAAACAATGGAGAGCAGGGTGTGTTAAATATGGGGCTTTCTTATAGGAACGCTTCATCCATTCAAGTGTGCAGGAATAAGGAGGCATGGTGAGATTTGGATTCAGAGAAGCTTATTCTAACTGAAGAACCTATTAGGGAGGTGAGAGCCTGGGAGGGCAGACTGAGAGTGGTGGGATGGTTAAGTGTTCTGGGGACACTTTAGAGAGGAGTACAGACGGCAGAGGGGTGACCTGATGATGAAGAGGACACTGTACAAGGAGGGAACGGGCAGTGTTGAAGATACTCCTGCTCTCGGACAGACAGTGTCAAATGGGTGCAGGTGCTTCTTCCTGACAAGGAATACTGAGACTAAATACAAGCTATATCATGCTCTGCTGCAGGATCATGCTCTGCTGCGGCCATTGCTGTGTTAAAACCCAAGAAAGAACCTGGCATCGTTCTTGCCTTCACTCTTTGCCATATGCAGTGGTAAAGTTAGTGGTAAACCATCCGTAAAATCAAGATGAATGAAAAAGCATTACCAGAGTAATGGTACAATGTAGCTGGAGTTTTCCTGCCTTGCCCACAGTCAGGACAAATCTTTGTCACCCGCCAGTCCCCCAGCTGCTCAGACCCAACCAAGTAAACACAGAGACTTACATTGCTTACAAACTGTATGGCCGTGGCAGGCTTCTTATAGCTTAAATTAATCCATTTCCATAAATCTATACCTTGCCACGTGACTCGTGGCTTACCAGCATCTTCACATGCTGCTTGTCCTGGTGGTGGCTGGCAGTGACTCCTTCCACCTTCCTGTTCTTTCTTTTCTCCTCTCTGTTAGTCCCGCCTATACTTCCTGCCTAGCCACTGGCCAATCGGTGTTTTATTTATTGACCAGTCAGAGTAATTTGACATACAGACCATTCCACAGCAGTACAACACTTTCTTGACCTCTCTTCCTACAGAGGATGTAACCTGTTGGAAGAACTGAAAATGATTCGTGCTATCTGTAACTTAAAGCTTTGCTGGAACAGTCTAAAATGCCACAGATGTTGAAAACTAGGAGATTGTGTTGAAAGTGAGAGTTAGAGAGGGTTTTGTGTAGAGATGGACCCTGGCTTTGAAGAATTCAGTGAGTAAGGGGAGAGCATTCTAAACCCAGGGGTCCAGGTTAAAAAAGACAGGGACGCTTGGGCCTGAGCCTTAAGAGTTATTGTTTAAGCAGGAAAAACATGGGGGTGGTGACTAGTGGAGTTAGGTTTACTTACAAAAAGTGTTGAAGCAAGGCAAGAGAATAAGACTCAGGAAAATGGGGCTGTGGAGATAATTCAGCTGGCAAAGTTTCCTGCTGTGCAGTCATGAGGACCTGAGTTTGAGCCCAGAACTGAGGAAAAGAAGCCAGACACGGTGGCACAGAATTGGAATCTCAGCACCGGAGTGAGACGAGCAGATTTGGACTTCTGGGTTCATTGGAGAGTCACCCTAGCCAGCTTAGCAAGCTCCAGGCTGAGGAGAGACCCTGTCTCAAAAACAAGCTTGAGAACTCCTAAGGAATGGCACCAAAGTTGTTCTGTGCCCTTCACACATACACCCATACACACACACAAACACACATACACTCTCTCACACACACATGCACACACACACATACCTACGTGAATGTACACACATACTGCTATAATATGTTATGTATATGCTTGAATATATATTAAAGACTTAGAAAATGAATTATGGGACATTCTGAGCTTGGAGCATTCATCTAAGAAAAATTTGCAAAGCAGACTCAAAGAAGTGGCAAACGTGCTGTGAAGACAAATCCAGGCTGCAGTTGAGAGACAGGAATGAGGCCCTTAGTACAGGAGATTTCAAAGAAATGATCCAAAGCACACTCACTCACTTCTCCATTGCGTGTGAAGAGAAGACTCCCAGCTTGGAAGTTGGAAATCTAGTGATGGTGATGTAACTGCATCTACTCTCCACAGAGAACAGATGAGTGGGCATGGCTCACAAAGGAAACAAGAAGATGCATGAGTCAGAGCCGCGTGCCATCCGCAAGCCACTCGAGATGTGATTGCCATGCAGGAGAAGATCAGGCACTTGGCCACAGAAAAGAAGAAAAAGGGGTCCAAAAATTTTAGGGTTTTTTTTTTTCTTTCAATTTTTAGTGTCTTCGAAAGAATAGTTTTAGAGCTACTGAAAATAGTTTGTCTGGCCCAGGAGTGGATTTAACTACTGTATGTATAGTTATGGTGCTAGGAAAATTGAGTAGAATGATGCTATGAGTTATTGAGAAAGACTGGAGGAAAGATAGGATGATGTCAAAAATCAGTTTCCTACCCCTGATCTGAATCTGCCTTCCTCTTCATTACTAACCAGACTTAGAAATAGCAGGTAGTTCAGGTGGCATGGGTTCTTGAGATGTCAGCTGAGAACCAGGTGAGTCACTGGAAGGGCAGGTAACTCAAATCCACTGAGAAAGGGCAAAAGGGAGTGGCCACAGTAGGTTCAGGTGAGACTTGGCTATTTTAAGTCAAGTTGAAAGTGACCCACTCCTAGTGTCCCCAATCAATGACCCAGCTGGCACCATCCTCCTTAAAGATTAACTGAACGCTTTGGAAGCCGGGTGCCTCAGG